TAAGTAGTTTTAAGTGAAACATCACATCTCATAAAACTAAATAGAAATCAAAATTGTTCTTGTGTTAGTTATAATTTATCAAGATATTAGAAAATTAATTTCACTACGTAAAACAAAAATGTTTAATAAACAGAAATACGTCAATGATTTTATCGTAATGTACAATAGTACGTTCAGTTCCCTACATGAATGGTTCCGTAACGTGTTTTTGGTTGAGATATACATCAAAAACTATTTATGGAAAACTATAAATAATTTATGAGTATTTTGTCTTTATCAGAAATGTTCACAAATAACTAGTTTTAATCCTAATTTGGGTTAATATTTAATTAATAATATAAATGTATGCTTTCCCATTACTTATAACAAGAACTTAGGGATGAAGGAATAGTAAAAGGAACGTCAATAACCATATTTTGATAATTGATTTTAGAGATTTTTAAACATAAACTTGTACGTTAGCATCACTTTTGACCAAAAAATTAAGGATAAAGGAAAATTTAGGGAAGTGCTTACAATTAGAGTAAGGAAACTTATGAAACAGGCAAACATTTTGTATGAAAATATGAATATATTATTACTTTTAAGACATGAAGAATTTTAAGTTGAAAAAAGTACATACCAATATATACAGGAACTCCATTCGTAGGTTAATTTTTCTTTTATTATTTGTGACAATGTCAGTTTCCAAGGTGAAAATAAATAATGCCTTGTTCATAGAGAACAACAATTTTCAAAACTTTCACCGACATTCGTAACTAGATAACGGATATATTTCTAAAAATTCCTTTCTCATCAAATTATTTTTTCCATATTAGTAGTTTATTAAAACTGCATAGATACCTTTTAAAATAAGTTCACATATTGTCTAACAAATTGTATACGGATTATAAACTAATTAAATAAAAAATTCGAATATTTCCTAAGATCACAAATGATGAGTATTTGGCAATATTCGAAACAGCGTTATATGGTCAGTCAAATTTCAATAAATTAATCAAATTTCTGTTATTGCATCTACATTAATGTTCGAATCCACCTCTTTAAGTATACATAGTTTTTGAAAAAAGAAATCCTTTAACATGGATTGTTATCAGTTGTTATTGCGACTGCTGATGACACTAGCATTTTATTAGTTTTTATGTACGAATATCCTGTAAACCCATAAAGCTCATAAACCGAATCAAATTAAATCAAAAATACAATATTTTTCCAGTTCATCTAATGAATTATTATTGGATTCATTAATTGACTATGTAGAATACTTTTTTGATGATCTTTGCTAGTACCAGTACAATTCTTAAAAAAAGGCTTTGCTAAACAGTTAAGGTGATATTTAAAGCTTTTAGTTATTATATGATAGCACAATAAACCAATGAGTCTATGTAGATGCTTCGAATTGCTGGTATATCCTAATTTAACCTATTGTGTCTAATATTATATTTTTTCTTAATCTCTTATTAGATATAGAGTTCCGCATCAACAATACTGTTATAATAATAGGCATTATGAGCAAAGGTTTAAACATAAATGTAAATAAAACTATTGATACATACCAAGTTAATTATAACAGATAATAAATAATAGGCGGGCATTACTTTAGCTTTGATCATATATTAATCGATTTTTTATAGGTATTTAACTCAGTTAATCTTAAAATGCTATGCAACTTACTAATTCAATTAGGGAATATTGTATAATTGGTTATTAATGTACAAAATGCTATTAGAATGACTGGAGCAAAATCTTCTTTTTAAATACGAAAATTAAAAAACAACATCCAAACACTTCCCACTCCTTTGAAATTTGCCCTTGGAAAGACAATATGTATGCCAACGATAAGCTCATTAACAAAATTTTATATTTGTTGATGAACTAGATTAGGAAAGATATTACGTCCTTGAGACAAGTATGTTTAATGAAAGCTGGTTAGAAACATACCTTTTCACATAAGTGAAGAAAAAAATCTCATATAGATTTCGAGTATTTCTTTACATATATAATATATATATGTATATATATATGTATATATAGATATAAGAAAAATCGATGATACAAAAGAAAGTATTATTGAATGTAACTTACTGTAACAAAATTTGTAGAAAAATTTACAATAATAAATGTGCACCATTACTAGATGGCACATCCATAATCTATTTTATACGACTTTAATAATTTTAGTTGGCTGTAACCTTATGCCTTATATCGATACAACCAAACCATTTTTTAAAAACATATCTCTAATCAAAACAAAATTACAATAAAGAAGAAGTAACCTCTTGTGAAAGACTCCATAAACTAAGAAATGTAGAGCAAAAGTCCTGATATTTGATAACAGAAACTCAAAGAGGTTAGACGTTTGACTAGGATTATCTTACCAATAATAGAAAAGAAAAGATTATGTATGGACTTAAGTCATTAAGTCCAAATTACCATTCATATTAAAAACTTAAACATTAATAATGTTTCATTTAGAAACTTTACTATATTTAATTATAATAACATTCAAATTTAATACTATGATTTTTTTTTGTGAATTTATTGGATTAATTTATTTTACTTTGATGAAAATAATTTAATTCCTTATCTGTGATATATTCACCCCTTGAATTTGTCGTCACACATAAAGTGCAACAGTTTGTTTTTATTTTTACCGCCTTATAAAAAATTGTATGAGCGTTTGAAAAGACGGCTTCGATTTTTTTTATAAGAAAAGACAAAGCTACTTATACAAAAATAAAATTTTCTTGTAAATTAACAAAAACTGCTTGACCCTATACTTTTTATTTATTTTGCTCATATTATTAGGTATTTTAGAAATAAATATTTTCCTTTGAAAAAAGAACATCAATCAACTTTCTATAAACACTTGTCGCCGAGTTTCCTTCGGAAAGCGAACACAAAAGTGACTGCTAATCCCAATTAAATATTGGCTCAGCAGAACATCAAAGGGACGCCTTCGCTTTTGAAATGGATTAAAACTTACACCTTTTAATTTCATTTGTAATTGATCTAATACTTGTTTGATGACATAAAATTATATATGACACTAATTGCATTTACAATAAAATATTGTATGTTATATTAATGAACTTTTTAAATAGAAGAAATATGCAACGCAATATATTTCTTAAATATTTTATTGAAAGAGAATTTTTGGTTTTAAGCAATAGTAAATTCGCATAGTTAATTACCATATTTTGTAGAATATACTAAAAATGGTAATATTTATATTAATATATTTATATTTAATATTTAGAGGTTTTCGAACAGAAGTGAAACAACAACAAAAATTTATTTTTTAAATTATTTTAATTAATTGAATTTTTGGCTGACCATACAGCTGTTTCGAGTATTGCCAAATACCCTTCATCAGTGGTCTTGGAAATAATTCTTGTATTTAATTATTCGTAAATAATTATTTTTGAGACTGCAAGTACCAGTATTTAATATTTATATAAAATTAATATTTATATTAATATAATATATTTATAATATATTTATATTACCATAACTATATATACTTATTTTCCTTTTCTTTTGTGGCACTTAAATATTTTCCTTCTGTCCGTTAAATATCTAATATTTATTATCTGTCAACAATATCCAAATCCTTTCTTCGAAAAGCCTGTTGTCTTGTGTGGTTGTGATCTTAAACATAAATTCTTCGATGCAGTAACTGAGCTGACTACCGACTCAATATCGTGGACGATGACAGAACTCATCAGAAGTTGGCATATATACAGTTTTTGTTTCGTACATCTTTCGTTAGTATTTTGTAGTAGTATTATTTTTATACGTGAAGTTGGAGAATTACGCTCTCCAATAACTTACTATGTGTATTTTCAAGAATATATTAATACTTTTAGCTAACATATATAATCATCTATGTCAACATAGACTTCCTTTATTAGATAGAGCTAGAAGACTGTAAAACTTATTAATTAATCCTGCAGATCAATCATATATAGTGTAATAGGAATATTGAGTTTCCAGTATTGATTGAAATATCTTGGTTGACATTAATTGTAAGACTATTGCAAGAATAATATATTTCGAAATGTTGTTAAATATGTCTTATTGTATTCATCTATTCAGACATAGATCCTATTGTAATTTTGGATTATTGTCTGAATTTACATGCTTAATAAAAAAAATGCTAAAAGTCATTTGTAGTATATATTTCAATGTACTGATCAGGCGATTAACTTAAGTACTAAAGAAGTAGTAAAAGTAGAAGTAGTTCTCACATTGTTAACAATTTAGTTAATGTTTCTGTATTAGTTTTGTCGTTCGATACAAGATATAATATCTAATACTCATACCTATTGTAGACTTTTTCCCACTCTACAGGGAATTAAATATTGTTCTGCATTCTTATTTAACGTGCGCTTCAAGTATATACATATATGACTTTTTATAAAAAGAGTTTATTTTTTAATTGATCCATTAGGTAGGTTCAATAGAAAGATCTCTATGAATGTTAAAGTTTGTGATTTGATACACAATTTTATATATCATTCTTAAAATTTTGATTAGAAATTTTCACAGTTCCTCAAAGGTGAACTTAGCTGCATTACTGAAAGGGACACAACCTTATAGCAAAGATGGTCTTAAGTCTTGATTATATTCTCTTTCTGAAGAAGAATTGAAGATAATGTGTACAAACTTTTTGCTATTATTGATGAGTAAAACGATTTGTGTATATCCAATTTTTAAATATCTATAAGTTTGGTTATATCTTTATCCCATAATAATACTTTCAAATATTTTAATTATATAAATCTGAATCTCATATTGGGATAGGTATGATAAATATAAGTAGATGGATAATTTTTTATAAAAGTCAAAACTATAACATATTTATTACAAAAATATATGCAACACAATATTATTCTCAAATAAGATTAAAACATATTTCAATAAACTATTTCAATATTAAAAAAATGTATATAAAAAGTATAAAAGTTATTATGTTAAATTAATTATTTGCAAAAAAACTACAAATTTCTGGAGATGCCAGTATCAATGAAGTTAGCAACGGCAATAGCACTACAGTGAAGATTTGGATAATCTCTACCACAGCCATAAGTCCAACTTAAATGACCACAGTATTCACCTTTGTCGTTATAAGTACCGGAACCATAATCATTTTTACAACCACCTGAATTGGAGTTGATCGTACAGTATTGAGTTCCAGTTAGTGGCGCAATATAAGTCAAACAATCTTCTTTTTTCATTGCCCCGAGATTAGTTTTGCGTAAAACATTTGAATTTAGTCCATTCTCACTTATTTGTCCCCAACCGTACTGTGTCATTACATCATAAACTTGAGGAGGTGAAGTACATCTAACAGCTGGCACAACTAAAGCCGAGGTGAATGGTTTACTTAATCTTACCAAAGCTATATCAAAGTTGTAGGTCTCCTGGTCAAAGTTGCTGGAATAAATCATTTTATGAACTGGAATAACTTCGCCAGTTTCACGCTGATAAGTTTTAGCACCATGAACGTCCAGTTGAGCAGCGGTGTGTGGCTTAGTACAGGTGGCGGCAGAAGTGCAGAATTGCTTATGAATCATTGTAGCACCGCAAAGTAACTTACCAGATTTGTCTGCTAAATATACACAGGATGGGCAGTCTGCAATAGTTGTTGGCTCTCCGTTGACAATTTTAGCCTGCCCATATACAGCTTGGAAGAATCCAAGGATTAGTACAGATAATAAAAAAAGATTTTTGAAACACATTTTAACTTATGTTGAAGTAGATTGCAACTATAATAACTTAAATTCTTTCACCACTTTTTATACTAAAACCAAAAAATTAGTTACCTAATAGATAAGCTTACCAAGAGATTAGAGTGCTCTTGATAGCATTTAAAACAATTAAACAATTGTCCAAATACGCAAAATTAGTTTATGTTCTCATTTTTGCATAAACAAATTAAACCTTAACCCAAATTTGTCTTAGTCTTAAATTTATCACATGTGTTTATTATATTTTGGTACATATTGTATTCACTCGGATATAACTATGCTTATATAATATATTAAAATTGGGTTTGCCTAATTTGCATGTGGTATACGAATATACTAAGTAAATAAAAATTGGCAAGGCTATAAACTTTGAAATAATAACAGTTTTGTGGAATTAAATTTTTGCACATGAGACTTAAATATATAAATATATATGTATGATATATATAACTAAAATCTTATCTAACTTTAGTAGTTAACAGTTTACAACTGACAACTAGTAAAAGCAGTGACAAGATCCAAAATTTGGTATAGGACAATATTTTGATATAGCAGCTACAGTAACCTGTAGAAGGAAGCTTTCAACTTCCAGTTAATTAAATTTAATTACATATAGTTTTTATATTGTTTCTTGGTATATCAGTATAATAACATTTATATCAACATGGTTATTAAATGAAATAACATTCTACATCTATAATAAGTGCAGAAATTATAATTATAAAGATACATTCGGTTGGCATTTAGATTGACGGTTCCAAACTAGATGACTAGACATTTTGTTTTAATAATTTAAGTCAAAGTGGCATCTATCAATTCTCTATTAAAGATTTTAACTACATTCTAAACAATTCGAGTATGCCGGGCTGCTACCATTGGCTCGGCTATTCACTTTTAAACTCAGATAAGCATAGATACCTGGGTACAAGAACATTTTGGGTAACAGCAAAGTTGGTTAGCTTGCCAAAGCAAACACACTGACTGTTCTCTGAAATTCACTCCCCGAATGTCAGTGTCACACACAGAACAACTTAGCTGGCCATCAATTAAAAATATATATCGATAGTTGAAAAAGTTTAGGAAGATTAAGATTCGCGTCAAACTACATTGCCTGTTCTGGAAATATGCAATAAGACCTGGTCTACTCCATAATAAGTTTTGACGTGGCTGTAGCTTTGTAAAAGAGGAGGAAAATATGTCAGTCCGCCTTATTGGCCAGAAGAAAGTGAATACATTTGGGGGCCCTTTTCTTATCGACCTAACAGGGCTGTCATTCTCTAGAAATTAAGTATCGGCCAAGTTTATTGGCTTGATAAATAAGTTCACTTCCACTTATATGAAGGAACCGTATCTGTTCTTTTCAAATTTGTGTATGCGTAGACCGCTTTGTTCTTTAACCTAGTTTCTGTCGTTAGACGAATAAACAATGTGTATATTCGTGGTATCACAACGGACCGCTATTTGAGCTTACGTGGGGTTTAGATTGCAAGGTCACTACTACAACCTAACCTGATCTAAACCGAAAGATGATATTTTTTGCTTAAATAAAGAGTCATTTATAACAATAATCATATCTTTGTATTATACATAAGATTATTAATGAAACTTCTGTAAAGTTACGGAGATAGAACACGATAGGCAAATTCATTGTGTAATCCTATTATTCTATTATATTATAGTTTCCAATAACATTGTATTGTTTATTATAAATGCTTAACATATAAATGATTAAAAGTGCAGTTAAGGATGTATTAATTATCTTCACTATAATATATATTACTCAATAAATAAGTAATCAATAAGTAATCATAATCATGAAACATTTCGCATTATAGGTTATCGATTAATAATATTTCGATATTTGAATTAATCTTAATCGATATTTGTTTCTTTATCAAATATTTAAAGCAACTAAATTGTTTAATTATTTTAAATAAAATATCTCTTAATAGCATATCTGCGGGGCTTCAAAAAAAAACTTTTCGCAATTTATCGTTTAACTATCTCTACTATTCAACAAGTAAATTTTTTCCCAAAGGAACTTAAAGGAATGTAACTT